TCAAAGCCCATCTTGATTAAAAACCTTTTTCTGGCCTTAAAAATATTTACCTAGCAGGTTGCAATGATACACCCTTATTTCAAGCAGTGGAGAAAAAAAGCTGAGACAAGAGGATACGGAGTTTGAGGCCAACCTAAGCAACATAGCCATGGGGTGGGGCAGGCAGAGACAGAGACACACAGAGAGGAGGAGAGGAGGAGGGCAAAATGACATTAATATATATTCTCACTCCTCAAGTGTTAATAAAAGTTATAGTTATGTTAATTTCTTTTATTAAAACTTCTTAGATAGGAGGCTAACGAAATAGCTCAGTGGGTAAAGGTGTTTGCCAGCAAGCCTGGCAACCTGAGATCTATTTCAGGTTCTCATAGAGTAGAAGGAAAGACTCAACTCCTGCATGTTGTCTTCAGATCTACAAAAGAATACCATGTCACAAGCATCGACACACACACACACACACACACACACACACACACACACACACACAAAGTAAACATATAAAGTATTGTTTACTCCCTTAGAGCAGGTCTATGGATCACTTCATGGAATTCATACTAAGAATGAATTGGGTTCTTTTCTGATACTTCTGAGATGAACTACAAGGAACAGCTCCAAGTACTCTTCTGTAGAGCTGTGCTGCAAAGGAGTTGGTCTGGAGTTCTTCTTATTTCAAGATGAGACCTGCTGTTTCCTATAGTGAGCACTGAGCTGGGTCTGGTTAGCTTGAATTGCTGCCCTTCCATTTCCATAGTTAAGATGATCTAAAACTCCAAGGCCAGTGTAGCTTACTTCCCTACTCCAGACCTAACTGGCTATTTTATTTGGCTGAGATTAGGAAGTTTTGGTCCATAGCTTGATACCAATTATGCCTAGATTATTAATGGATCATTGTCACTATTAACTGAAGACCAGTCAGTCTTGTGGGAAGGCTGGTGAGCTTTGGAGGCAAACAGCTTTGAGTAGGAGTCCTAGATGTGCTACCTATTGTTGGACTATCTTCAGATTTCTTCTCTTGGAGCTACTGTTTCCTTATCTCCTAAGAGGAGATGGTAACCACACACACACACATACACTGGATACTGCAATGAGTCATGTGTTGCTACATAAACCTAGAGGAGTAAATGCTATTACCTATTATTGCTCCTCTTTCCTCTCTCTACTTATCTACAAAAGGCTTCCTACCCAATAAGGACAGCCAACTATCAGTAAGGGTACAGCTCGCCACTACAGATAGGTAATTTGCTCTAGCTCCTGCCATTCCCAAAACCTCTCTGCCCCATAAGCAGCTGTCAGTCAGATTTTCAAAATGAGACAGATTCTGTCTTTACTGTTAAAAAAATAAAAATACTCTCTAAACAATTGACTGACACATTCTCATAAAACTTGGTAATCTTAAATATAATATAGACATATGTATAAATCATCCGAAATCACCGCTGTGCTGTGACTTTATCTCTGGGTCCTGGAGCAGCTTCTACACAGATACCACACAATGGCTCTACTGGCAATTGCTAATGACTGTGTTACAGGAATGCTTCAGGGTCATCCTCACTACGGCTACCTCTGCTGTCTAACTGGACAGTTTTCACTATGATGGTTGTGATAGGTCCCAAGGTTCTTAGATGGGCGATATTGATGGTTCCACTTTCTCCTCTAGTAGCAAGCATACACTTACCTTCCAACACCATGAATAGTCAGTAGGGGGTGAATTTTCTTCTTGAAAAACCACTCAATGTCTCCATGTTCAGCAATGTAGCCTTATAATAATGTGAAAAAACTAGGCTTAGTGGTAGTAGTAGTACACACCTTTATCCCAGCACTTGGGAAACAGAGACAGGTGGATCTCTGTGAGTTTGAACCCAATATAATCTACCAAGCCAAGGCTACACAGAGAAACCCCGTCTCAAAAATCAAAAACAAAAAACAAAAAGAAATGTTATGGAGAGTAACCCATACTTGACAATAGCCTATATTGGGGGAATGAGCTATGGGATCCTTTTGGACACCAACTCCAGAATATGTAACTCATTTCTTGTACTGGAAGTTTTATTTGGTAGCATATGATGTCTAGTTGGGGCACTGTCTCTCTTAAAAATTCCTTTCAAGCATGTCTATATTTTAGGAAACATCTGCAATAGTAGATTTTCTGACTTTTCAGAGTGCCTTAGTGTCAGTTGTCCCTCCCCACGCCCCCTCCCCATGCCCCCTCCTCTACCTACCCTGCCATTCTTCTCCCCAGTCAGCCCTCCTTTTCTAGTCATCCCTTTCTCTGTTTCTAACATTATGTTCTACATCTCCTTCCTCGGAAGTCCCCTTCCTCCTCTCTGGTCCTCTACCAGCTACCCAACCTCTATGACTCTTCTAATTTAAACACACATAGCTAAAACTTAGAAGTTAACATCCACATATAAGAGCAAACATGTCATCTTTGTCTCTCTGGGTCAGAGTTACCTCCGTCAGGATGACTATTTCTAGTTCCATCCACTTGCCTGCAAATCTCAATTTCTTACTAGCTGAGTAATAGTCTATGTGTGAACTACCCATTTCTCTGTGGATGAACACATAGGCTGCTTCCAGTTTCTGGGTCAATTATGGATAGAGCAGCAATGAACATGGGTGAGCAAGCGTCTCTGTAGTAGGCTACAATTCTTTTGGTATACGCCAAAGAGTGGTATAGCAGGATCTTGATGGTAGATCAATTCTCAGCTTCCTGAGATGTCTCCACACTTATTTCCATACCAGCTGTACCATTTTGTACTCCCACCATTAATGAGTGTGTTCCCTCCCCTGTAGCACCCCCCCACTCAGTCCTTTGCCAGCATGAGCTGTTTAATTTGCCCTAGCCATTCTGACTGGGTTAAGATGGGACCTCAAAGTAGTTTTATTTTGCATAATTCTGATAGCTAAGAATGTTGAATATTTTTATGTTTCTCAACCATTTGTGTTTCATCTTTTTTGAGAATTCTCTGTTCATTTCTATACTCCATTTTTAATTGGGTTATTCATTTTTGTGTTTCTTTGGTTCTTTATATATTCTAGATACATACATACATGTGTGTGTGTGTGTTTGTGTGGTGTGTATATCTGTCACATGTAGAACTGGTGAAGACTTTCTCATTCTCTAGGCTGCTACTTTCCTCAAACAATAGCGTTCTTTGCTGTACAGAAACTTTTTAGCTTCATTAAATCCCATTTGTTGTTCTTGATGCCTGCACTATCAGGGTCTGTTCAGAAAGTCCTTTCTCCTGCCAATAAGTTCAAGCCTGTTCCCCGCTTTCCCAGCTGTCAGATTCAGAGTACCTGGTCCTATGTTGAGGTCCTTGATCCATCTGAAGTTGAGTTCTGTGCAGGGTGACAGATTTGGTTGTATTTTCATTCTTCTACCTGAAGCCATCTAGTTTGACCTGCACCATTTGTTGAAGATGCTATTTTCTTTCCAGTGTGTGTGGGGGGGGCAGCTTCTTTGTCAAAAATCAGGTGTGTATAAGTATGTGGAGTTATGTCCAGTTCTTCAGTTCTATTCCATTGATCAGTGCTGGTTGTATTATTATAGTTCTGTAATACAACTTGAAATCTGAGATGGTAATGTGCTGGGAGTTAGTGATTCGTTCTAAAACGGAACCATCAAGTAAGTAGGTGAAATCTTTCTATGGGTTTTGGGAGGCAGAGGGTTATTTGCTCTTTTTGTTTTTCTTTTTCCCAGTTCTGGCAACTAAGCCTAAGGTCTCACACGCTCCAGGCTTAGAAGTCTGTTATTCAGCAATTAGGATCCTCTGAAGTTTAGAGTCTAAACTGTATTAATGTCTCCAAATTCATGCCTAGTCCAGGGAAAAATTACAGAACAATCAGGCAGTGAGAAGAACATTCTTAATTGCTAAGCTACTGCTTAGAAGTAATCTGAAGTTGCTCCCCCAAGGATGAGTGTTGAGGGCTTGAACCTCAGTGAGATGGGAGGACTTTGAAGTGCTTGGACCTAGTGGAGACTGAGGTCTCTGACTGGCTTGATCATGGGTTGAATTAACTCACATGGGATTCAGAATGAGTCCTGTCAAGACTGAATTGTTGTGAGAGTGAACTTGACCCTGGGTCTCTCTCCCTTCCTGTCTGGCACAGAGATCTTTTCCTCACATATTAATACAATGATGCCACCTGCCATTAGGCCCTTAGTAAAGGCTGACCTAATAGGGCCACTTGAAAGTGACCTTAAAAATTGTAAGCTAAATAAACCTCTGTGTAACTGTGCAGCCTCTTACAGCAATCAAAACAGACCAGTGTAGGTGCCTTGTGCGCTTTAACAAGTTGGGGACAGTAAGTCTTAGGATATATATGTTATTACAATGCTGTAGTTACTACTGTTAGTTGCAACGTCTGAGCAGTCTCACTTGTTTGCATGGTGTTTTTGTATGACTAAGTTGTCAACCGTGTATGGAAAAGCGGATACACATAGAACTGTGAAGCCGCAGGAGATCGGGGTGGGTTAAAATGGCTTCTTGACTTAAAACAATTAGCATTACGGTAACAATTAGCATTCACGCAGCACCCGACCATTTATTTGCACGCTGCACTTCCAAGGTCATTTCATCTTGCAAAGGTTGTGAAGTGGTCCTGTGATACTGTCTCACACCAGTGCTAGGCTTCCCTGCCAAACCGTGAAAGTTAACACTATGGAACCTGGGACAGTGAGAAGGAGAAAGACGTCAGTAAACCTGCCAAACTCATTGGCATTGATGTTCGGCGCTTTAGAAACGCAATGGCGCATCTTGTAAAAAGAAAAAGCAATTGGCTCACATTTCATTCCCAAAACTGTACGAGAACTGCCTGGCGCTTATTTGTAAAAATCTTTTGAGATGGGTATTTGATGTGTAACCAATAATCAATCAGTTTGCTTACTCGGAAAGGTAGGGTCGTGAAACCTGGGCATGTTTGAATCTAATTTTGAGGCGAAGCCTGGGCTCATCAGAATAAACCACTGACTGTAAAGGATCGCCGTGGAGAGGAAATACAGGGAGCTGGTGAATATTTTATTTTAAAAACTCAGGCTACGGTTTAAGAAACAGTGCAGCCGTTTCGGCTTTACTGCATAACCACAACTTAAAAGTGAGCATTGGTCTAACAACCAGCTGGCTCTAAAACCTGGGGCCAGGAAGATCAATTGCTGCGGTGATGAGAAGGAGCCTGGGTGACAGCGCTACCTGCTCTGCTCTCTGCTGGGTCACTAGGAAGAGGAGGCTGGCATCTTCAGGAAGCGGCACGGCACGGCATAACGAGCTAGGTGATTGGGTTACACTGGGCGCATCCCGATAGCGGGCGCGGGAGCCGCTGGCCCTAAGCCTTTCCAGATGTGGCCACAGCGCACGCTGGGCTGTGGGCCAGGAGGCCGCCTGCAGCCGCTTCCCGAGGCCGCAGCGCCAGCCGCAATGCCTGCGTCCTGAGCGCCCGGGAGGAAAGGGGGTCCCGGGAGTTCCGCCCCAAGTCACTCGCGGGTGGATGGGGGACCCCGACGACCACGTGATGGCTCGACCCCTGCGAGCCCCGCTGCGGAGGTCCTTCAGCGACCACATCAGGGACTCCACCGCCAGGGCGCTGGATGCTATCTGGAAAAACACCAGAGAGCGACGGCTGGCAGGTGAGGGGCATGGAGGGGAGAGCTGGGAATTAACCAGAAAGCCTTTGAATACACAGACTCTGTAATTAACTCGTGAAATTAACTAGCTCATCAATTAGAATATAGCAGTCTCTGGAATTCGACGTCTCGGGGGTGTGGGGGGGCTTCTTTTTCTCTTATTGCCTCTTGCTATTGGTCTGATTGTTTCCAGCTAAGGTTTTGGGGCTTTTTTTTTAACCTTGAGAAGAAAAGCAAGGTCCTTTGGAGTGTCAGTAAATCAGCGGTGGAGATGACAAACAGCAGGCTGTAGCCCTGAGCTCTGCAGAGCAGTTGGTGGAGGGTCAATCTTCCCAGCAGGTCTGGCCTGAAGTGGCCAGGCCTGACTTGAGCAGACCAGGGGCCTGGCAGGGTGTGGGTTAGTGGGAGTCCCCGCCCAACATCAGTCAGCTGGTGTTCCCTCCAGCCTAAGCTCTGAGTTCCAAGAGGGTACCAGGTATGCCAGAAGCAGCCATTTGAGATGCAATGAAACATCTATACATTGGTGCGATTCAAACGTTCCAGGGCTCATATGACAGGCGCCAAATGGCAGGTCTGTGTTTGAAGGACTCCAATGAGGAAAAAAAGGAGGTCTGCTTAATTCCGGATAGGAAGAATATTCTGAACCTGACAGCAGATAGCATCTCACTGTGGTGGGGAGGGGCCCTGGGAGGAGAGCCCTATTCCAACAGCCTTCTGGCGTTCCTTGTTGATGCCCTGAGTGAACTCGACTCAGCCATCCACGTGGAGGGGTCAAAGAGTATGTTTTCTCAACTTTTGTTGATGTTGGGTTGTTAATCCAGTTGTTTTTCGAATACTGGAGGGACTCCAGGAATTGTTAACCATTTTAGACGTGCCTCCAAAGGTTGATGCAGGTTTCTGGGCCATGTTCTTGACAGAGGTCGTTTGATATCAAGTAATTGTCTGCACAGGACTTGGGGAGGGTGGATTTAAGGTGTGAGAATGTGATAAGGCAGATTATGAAGATAAACATGAAAGTTTCAGACCTTGGCAGGCTGAGATTCTTGGAGTGACTGTGATCTGTTGATGACCTTTGAGACAAGGCCTTGCTATGTATCTCAGGTAGGCTTCTACATATCTCCAGTGCTTAGGTTATAGATGTGAGCCGCCATATAATAAACGAAAATTTTTCTCCATTGACCTAAATAATACAGGGAGAAGATGAACAATATTAAATTTAACCAGAAAACAAATTGTTTTAAATTTTACCATGTTATTACTGCTTGAAAACAGAATGTGATGTCTTAATTAAAGCAATCAGACTTCCCAAATTATCCAGTGACAACTTGCAGTTGACCAGAGGAAGCCAAGGACATAAGATACACAAGTATAAGATACCCAACCAGAACTGGTTGAACTAAATAAAGAAAGAAAAGAACTATTACCTCATTATTATAAACCTAATTATTATTATAACAATGTTTGATTATGGTTTGCTGTTTTAGCTTGAATTTTTTAGGCTAATTGAAACTTACCATTTTTCCCGGATTTCCTCTTCAATTTTCATAAAATCTAGAGTTTGACAGCTGAGGACAGACGAGAATGAGAATATCATGAATGTTATGGCTTGAAAGTTCCGTGTCCTTCATTTTTTTTTTTTTTTTGGGCCCTGTATTAACAGGCTATTTGTAGAGTCCAAATGCAGGAGCCAATACAAAGTCATTAATACAAACCACCTGGAGAACAGTCATTGCTTTTGATGTGTGATGGAAAACGAAGCATTCCCACAGCCCTGGCAGCAAATAGGATTTTGCTACTCCAGTCGCACAGAAGGAATTCTTCATGTTGCTCGGCTCCTCAAGGAGGAGCATAGGCACGCTAGGATGTTTATATAGTGGAGAATGTGGGCAAAGAAAGAGAACTTGGGCAACGGTTGATGCTGATTACTGGGGACCTGGACACTGTTGCATGCTCGCTGGCCCTTGGCCCATGGCTGACACTGTCGGTGCTTGTAAATTGGAGATTGGTCTGTTGCAACTCTCAAGAGTGCTCACCCCACCCCCTCCCTTCCAGCATGTCTGCACTGAGCCCTCCCACTGACCAAAACACTAAACCACAGCTGTTGAGAGTTCATGGAGATTCTCTTCTCTGAACAGCAGAGAAAATGTTTTTTTTAATATGACTTGGCCTTCCCTTGCAGAACGGAGGGTGGTAGAAAAGTCCTCACCCACCTCCCTCTTCACTGTGAAACAAATGACGTGACAGGCATGGGGAATTGGGAGCATCTAGTGGAAAGTGCTTCTGCTCATAGTGACTGGAATGCTCCTGCCTTGAGGCTGATGGCCCCAGTGACTTGCACGGGGCTTCTCAACAACCAGAGACTTTGGCTATTTCTACCTAGGCGAAGAGTTTGGTCACGGGATGAAGTCTTAAGCTTTCTTTTTAGGTTATCTCTGTCTCTCCCACGCCTTGGCCAGTCTTTCCCACTCCACCCCCATAATTTAATGGTACCCTACTTATGATACCCTAAATTATGCCATGTAGAAACCTGTCATTTATTCTCCTTGCCTTAAAGTCCTGTGGCACAGAGCTCTGACATTTTTAAGGATCTGCGTTCTTATTTAAACACACTGCAGAACTGCCACTGGGAAAAGGCCACCCAGTCGTGAGAAGTGACAGACTGGGTTGTCTTCATTTTAACCCGCTTCGATCTATGCCCCTCCCTGCGCCCAGGCACAGTCCCCAAGAGTTTCTCTTACCCAGGGCCCCAGCCCTCCGGGCTCACCGCCTTCTTTTTTAAGAGCTGATTGTGTCACTAAGTGTTCACTGAGTGGGAATTTGCGGACAGTTGTGATTGATGGATGGGGCGCACGGCCCTGTCGGACTGAACGGCTTGTGTTTCTCCCATCTCTTTGAGGTCCTCACAGTCTAAGCGTAGCACCCCTCATGCTGCTCCCTCATCTCCCTCCCACTTGATACCTGGACATCTTGGCATCGAAGTGCATTTGATCCCCCACAGCCAGTTGCCTCATAATTGTTTCCCACAAGGCCTCTCGGCCTATGTTAAGATGAATCACTGTGGGGTTCTGATAAAGCCTATGGCTCGCTTCTCAAAATATTTACGAATGTGTAAATAAAATATAGGGAGTTATGAAGGAAACCAATGGCAATGAGACATACCTATAGAAATGTTCAGACCACACATTTATGACTGTGGAAATGGTAAATAGAGTTTTAGAAAAACTCTATGTATGATTTTGTTTCCTGCCCCATTTTCTGAATCCTTTGACTCTATCCATAGACTGTAAACTAAAAATACTTTTAGTACTTACTGTGGTTTTCGAGGCCCTTGACGCAGTGAGTGTCAAGGACTCTAGCTTCAGTGAAGGGCGCCCATAAACATTAACTCTTGTAATTGTGGTGCCAGGCTCTCATAGTGAGCTGTCTATGGAGTGGTGTATATTTGACGAACTTCTACAAGCCAGTTAAGACAACTCCAAAGAACTATAAAAACACATTAAAACTGGAGGTAGAATTAGTTAAAAATACTGGAAGTAAAGCAAATCCAGACTCTTTGGGATGTATAGTAATTTTCTTCTGCATGGGAAGAGGAATTGCTGGGTTAAAAAGGGAAATCTGTGCTAGTTTTAAAAAGACCTAATAAAGTGAAATGAATAGTATGAAAACACATAGATTGGGAAAAGGGAATCCAATGTCTCTATGAAAGACATGATATCTTCTTATCTAAGGGGGAAATCTAAGTGTCTCAAATGTTGAGACACAAGGCAGGGTGCTGTCTCCAGAGCTAAGCACCTAAGGGAGAAAAACAGGTTAATTGATTATGAAGCAAGAAAATTTAGGCGAATTTCAATCTAAATGAGCTTCAGCTGACATAAAACAAATCATTGTGTGTGTGTGTGTGTGTGTGTGCATGGGATTGGACCCCTGAGTTTTTTTATTGTGTGTTTATTACCATATGTCTTTTGGGAAAGGGATTCCTGTATTTCTGTAATAAGCCAGCAATGTGAGTGTCTGGCCTGATTTGCAGTGTACTTGTTCTCAAGGATTCTGGCCCCATTCCAATGAAGGGCAACCACAAACATTGACTCTGCGAGCTGCTCTATGCTCTCCCTTGGTTCACAGTGAAAAGCAAGTAAAGGCACATGGAATGCCTTTTAACCAGGAGTGAGGTATGCCTCAAAATATGCGGTAAACAAAGACAGCCCTCCTCTAGACTTTTAAAGAGAGGCAAGCAACCATCAGGGATGCTTCATGAGCTACTGTGATGTGAGCGGACAGCCCCTGAACTTACTATTTTGATAAAGCGAGAATGAGTCAGTGTCAAGGGTGCCTTTGATGTATGATAATGTGGGGACTGAGGTTGCAGCTGTGCCTCTGACTGCCCGAGTGAAGACTGTGACTCTTCAAAGATCACATGAACTCAGACTAAAGCAGCAAGCACGGGCCTACACGGCTCTGCATCAGGTCCTCTGCGTATGTATCACAGCTGTCAGCTTAGTGTTTTTATGAGATTCCTGAGTGTGTGAACCACTGGGTCTCTGGTTCTTGTGTCTTTTCTTAGGACTCTCTTCCTCTGTTAGCTTGTCTTGCCCAACTTCCATGTGACAGTTTTCCTTGTATCTTATTACGTTTTATTTTGTCATGTCTGGCCATTATCTCTTAGAAGCCTGTTCTTTTTCTAAGCAGAGACAGAAAGGGAGTGACTCTGGAGAGGAGGGGGAGTGGAGAAGAACGGGGAGGAGTGGAGGGAGGGGAACAGGAATCAGGATGTATTGTAGGAGAAAATAGTGGGTTCTTAATAAAAGGGGGAATTTTAAAAAAAGATTGTGACTCTTGCATTTGATAACTTTGGACAAAATAATGTTCCTCACACCAACACACAAAAGGTGATCACAGTACCTACATCATATACACAGTTAAGGGTTAAGTGAGCTACTATCAGACATGCCCAGAGGAGCCTTTGGCATACTGAGAAAGCACAGCCTTGTTTTGTTATTATCACACCCACCTCTCTTTTCTTTATGTACTATTTCCTGAGGATCTTTGCCCATCGTAGCACACTATCAACATCATTTGCCTAGGGCTTTGGAGCAGAGGTAGCTCAATCAGTTCCAAAACCAATCACAGGGACTTGTAAAATTTCAGTGGCACATGAGTTTATTTCTATACCTCCGAAGAGCAACAACCAAAGACCTAAAGGAAGTGATTTTTTTTTGGAAGAGACCTTTGTGAACTCTCTAAGGAAGTGACCAGAATAACTGTTCTGTACACTGATGAGGAAATCAGCCTTGCATGTGGGTTTGTCACACTTAGATGGGCAATCTCTGGACAGCTTCCCAGGCAAGCTGCAACCTGCGTTGGACACTGTTATCTGGTTGGACCCGAGCGTGTCAAAGAGCAGCAGAGCCAGCAAGCCTAGGGTTTCAAGTATGTAGCTCCACTGTGTAGGGGAAAGGGTGCTGAATGTCAAAGCCGGCGTTTGAAAGGGGCTGTCCTGCATAGGTCCCTCTCTGGAACAAAACAGCTGTAACTCTTACTTCTTGAAAGTGGTATGCATGGATGGCATTCCCACCTTCCAGAGGTCTGTGTGATTGGAATAACTAGATGTCTAAAGTCAATGCCTTGGTAGGAAGGATATATGTATTGATTGAGGAGCAGAAGCTATGCTATGCAGCAAAAACTTGGTTTAAAAGAACATTCCTCTGGAAGCTCCCTGCGCCGGAGGAAGGAGGTAGGTGGAAATTGAGGTTGAACATAAATGTTGTTCATTTCTGGTTCAGTCACTTATTTACCTTTAAGGTAATCTGATAGTCTCAAAAAGGGAGGAGTCACCACCCACTTGATATGTGCTGGAGTCCTGTGTCACAAGGAAGGCTCGTACTGTTTGGTCCCCCTCAGTATTCTTCCATGGGGGTCATCAATAAGCACTGATATCTTCAAGTGACTGCCTGGAATTATTGATCAAGACATAATCATAGTACAGGGCAGACTTATTCCTGTTCCATCATAATCAGACCCATGATGGTGGTACTACAGCTGCTCTTCTCAGCCCAAGACTAGACACAGAACTATTGTGACTGTGAATCAACGGTGGTGGCTGCCAGCTGGTGCTGCCATCATTTGTATGCAGCCCATGGGTGCCTACTAAGCACCATGTCTGTACTCAAAGGTCTAGAGAGATTTTCTCATTCCATGTTCAAAATCATCCTGAGACGTAAACACTACCATTTTTAGTCTCCTTTAAATTAAAGGATTTGGGGAAATATGTTAAAAATGCATTCGTGAGTTTCATAAACAAGGTCTAGGAGCCTCCAAACCTGTCAATTGTCTTTAATCCACTTTATAAAGATTTATTGAGTATCTAATGTATACCAAACACTGCCCTGGACACTGAATGACAAACAAAAGACAGACAGAACCCTTGCCTCCCTGTCATAGGTATGACACCTGACTGTAGACTTACTGGGTCTAGTAAACTTCATTTTACTAAGGAAGAATTGCAAATGAGCTCCAAGCTCTAAGAGATGCCTGAAGTTCACCACTGACAGGCTCTTTAAATGTCCATCACCGGGGATGTGGGAGAAGGCAGGCTTGTAAAGGGGCTGTATCAGCAAGGTGTGTATGTAGCTTTGAAAAACATGCACTAACCTGCTACCTTCACAGTATGAGCTGCACCTTGCAAACTGATGACTTAGCATGAGAAAAACTGCAAGCACAAAGGTCTGCTGCCACACTCTGCAACACTTGGTCCTGGAAACCAGGCTGGGATGGCAAAGAAATGGAGAGAGGACAGACACACCGGCACATAGAGAAAATCTGGGGTAGGGTGAGCTGTGCTTGCTCTGGTGGAGGACACCAGTTGCTGCAGCAACCTGGAAACTTAGCAGTCTGATTGACCCACCTTGATGGAGGAAGCAGGTTTATTAGATACAGTGGAGTAAGGAGGCGGGACTGTGGTATACAGATGAAGGTAGCTGCAGGTATCTCAC